GCCATCGCGGGTGATGACCTCCACCGCGTCCCACGCGGACTGGGCACAGTAATGGTAACTTGCGAGCGAATTCCTTCATAATAAGACAGACTTGCGCAGAATCTGCCGCGATCTCTTCTTCCTCACGCATCCTTTTCCGGCAGCAAGGAAATGTCAACACGATCGAAGGTTGACATGAACTCAGTGACTGACAAAAGCAAGCATCCCGTACATGCAACCTGATCCCTAACGCATGCCCTGACATTTTTTCTACTGCTGGTCTGTTCGCAGGCCTTTTTCTAGAGGAAAATTTCAGACCATTGGGTGAATTTTTTGAAGTATGTGCTGTTTAGAAGACTTTGATGAAACATTTTCTTGTAGGTATGCAAATAGATGAGATGGTACCGACAAAGACAAGGGAGACCGGAGGGGCCATTCCTGTCTTGTTAGCCGTCATCAGCCCGTCATACACAGCTCCAAGTATAGAGCACCTGGAATTCGAACCGGGGATCTTTGGCCATGGAGGTTGACACTACCACTGGACCACGGGCCCGTTGTCCTACCGGTTGTGATCGGGTATATTCATTATGAAAGATGGGCGCTCACCGACCAGGTTACGGAACGTGCTCGTTCCGTTGTATCTTGGTGTTCATACTAGAACCCTCACAGGCAGTCGCACAGCGACTAGTAGTAGATGTAAATGACATGGTTCCGGCAAAGACTGTCTGAGAAGGTATAAGTCCCAAGGCAAAACGAAACAAGTACGTTCCGTAACCCAGTCGGTGAGGGCCCATCTGTCATGCAAACAGATGTCACAAAGTGAGCCGACTACTCTGCCGGCCACAATCAGGGCCGCTCCGATCTCACATGGTAGAGAATACCACAAAAGGCTGCACTGAGTAGGAGTCATCGTAACCTGACTCTCGGTTCTGGGAAAGACCGAGTTCTTTCGTCAGTTGGTAACCTTCGAAGTCTCGACTCTTAACGTATACATATTTTACTTCTTGTGTCTCCATCACCCTAATCTGCTGGTGGCTTCGATGGTTGGTTCGAGTGAGAATCCGAAACGTCGGGCTAATAAACCTCCTGTCACAGCAATCGGATCTTCATCTGAGCTGCTCTCTGGAACTCCCCTCTTCGTTTCTATAGACGCGTCGGATTTATTTTAGCGAGGGAGGCGCTGACCAGTCGTGAAGATGAACTCCCCGGTGTCAGCCTCACTCCCATCTCCCATGCACCAGTCGGCTGTCTCAGCCTCTCAGTCAACTAATGATGGGATTGGACACCGCGGTTGACAAAACCAAACAGCCCGCCTACACGCGTCACACGGTATCTGGTTCCCGCTTCATGTACCAGGCTACTCGAAAGGACATGCTAAAGTGCTGTGGACGACAGAGAGGCATTCCCCAAATCAAAAGTCAGATAGAGGTGCTAGGACAATCGTTACTGTGGCCGGGGGAGTACAAGCGGTTCAGAGGTTGGCCGCAGCAAAGGTCTCTAACGAAACGGAGAGCCAGCCGTCACTGCTGTCCGTCAGAGCAAGGTGTTTGCGTGGTTCCGAACCACGTCTGCCTGAGATTAAGCGTTGAACACCAAAATATCGATCGTCGCCACGGCGTCAACACGCCAAAGACAGGGGGGGAGGGGGGTTCGGCCACTGCTGTCACCTCCGGTACACTGTCGCAGACATGTTTCCAACTTAAATGAGACGTGCATGTTCTGACACGCTGTGTTTAGACCCCCGTACCAGTACTGGAAAAGTTGATCTCAACCATGCTGCAGGAGACAGAGAGCTCACTGCTGTTGAGCCCAACTCGCGAGGCAGGGATGGACGTCAACGCGTTTAACAGCCGAATTTTCATACCGGTGTGACCCACGAGTTGTCATCAGTCATTTAAAACTTATTAAAACCTACTTAGATATTGATTTCGTCGCCTATCGCTATTCGGCCTTCGCCAAAAGCGTAAAGGACAACTGGAGTGGTCGACCCAGGGCAGAGCGACGTGACGCGGGTGTCGCCTTTGCCATCCGGACCGACATCGTGGAACGACTACCCTGTCTGCCGCAGGGCATCAACGATCGCCTGATGAGCCTCTGCCTGCCTCTCTGGGGAGGCAAATTCGCCACCATCATCAGCACCCACGCCCCGCCGATGACAAGCCCTGACGCCGCAAGAGATAAATTCTACGAGAACCTTCACGCCCACCTGGCGATAGTGTCGAAGGCAGATAAGTTAATTGTCCTTGGTGACTTCAACTCACGCGTTGGCACAGTCCATGCTGCCTGGAGGAGTGTGCTAAGCCCCCATGGTCTCCACGGCTCCAACGACAACGGCCTGCTCCTTTTCCGCACCTGAGCAGAACGTCGACTCATCCTAACGAATGCCTTCTTCTGCCCCTCCAGGTAAACTAAATATTACTGTTTTGTCTTCGCCTGACCACCGTCTCCATCTCAGCAATGAACTAGCTCAACGGTAAGCCAACCTTTCAGTCGCCGCTGCCGCCACTGACGAGAACGCTTCCATTGAGAACCGATGGGGCCAACTCTGGGGCACAGTCCAGTCGACGGCCCTGGCTGTCCTCAGTCGCTCACGTCGCCAACATCAGGACTTGTTCGATGACAACGGCGACGCCATCAGCAACCTGCTCGTCGAGAAGAGCCGCCTGCACAAAGCCTGCGTCTACTGTCCCACCGGCGACAACAGAGCTACCTTCAACCGTAGTCGCCGCCTTGTGAAACAGCGGCTCCGCGAGATGCAGGACACCTGGACGGCTCGCAAGGCCGAGAGGGCCCAAGGGTACGCGGACCGCAAGGAATGGAAGAACTCAGCGATCAAAGCCATCTACGGTCCACCAACCAAAGGTACTGCACTTCTTCTCAGCGTCGACGGCAGGGCCCTACCCACTGAGAAGACAAATTCTACAGCTATGGGCTGGCCTCTTCCGAGCGTCCTCGAATGGAACGAGGACGAATGGAAGAACACCTTCTCCGCGACCAAAACTGTTTACGGTCCGCAAACTCCTCAGCGCCGACGGAACCGCCTTTCTCACAGGGAAGACACAAATTCTGAAGCGATGGGCCGAGCATTCCAGTGGCGTCCTCACCCGTCCCTTCACCATCTCCGACGCCGCCCTCGCCTGTCTGCCGCAAATGGAGACCAACGTCGACCTCGACTTCCCATCCTCTCTCCACGAAACACTCAGGGCCGTGCAGCACCACTCCAGCGGGAAAGCGACCGGATCGGACGCGATCCCTGCCTAGGTCTCCAAGCACGGCGACCCCCAACTCATGGATCATCTGACTGCGCTCTTCCAAATGTGGCATCAAGGAGAAGTCTCTCAGAATTTCAAAGACGCCACAATCGTGCATCCATACAAGCGAAAAGGAAACCGTCAGTTCTGCGAAAATCATCGAGGCATCTCCTTGCCGAACATCGCCGGGAAGATTTTCGCTCGCCTCCTTCTTAACCGTCTGAACAACCACCTAGAACAAGATCTTCTGTCGGAAAGCCAGTGCGGCTTCCGTCGCCATCATGGGACCACAGACATTATGTTCGCCGCCCGTCAACTGCACGAAAAGTGTCATGAGATTCGGACCCACCTGTACTTTACCTTCGTGGATCTGACGAAAGCCTTCAGCACGCAAATTGCGAAGGACCGTGGAAAATCATGCAGAAATTTGGCCGTCTCGAATGATTCACTCAGATGTGCAGACGCTCCACGATGGCATGATGGCGCGAGTCACAGACTATGGAGCTGTCTCAGAGGCATTCGCAGTGACCAACGGAGTGAAGCAGGGATGCGTGCTGGCCCCTACCCTCTTCAGTCTTGTGTTGTCTGTCATTCTGTTGGACGCCTACCTTGAATAACGTCCTGGGATCCGCATTGCCTACAGGATGGACGGCCAACTCCTTAAGCACCTTGAAGAAGGAGACACGATCGCTGGGACAAGAGCTTTATTAGCCTGACGTTTCGGATTCCTGCTCGAACCCAACATCAGAGACAAAGGCAGATACGGATAGTTCATGCATAAGGGGCTGCAGTATTTATAGGATGCAGTAGTCATGCTACCGCATACCTATGAATGTTCACGACTCCCCCCTTCATCAGGGATCGTTGCACGTGGTGTGATGGCCGAAATTCGCGTCGTTAATTGCTGCAATTTTATCACGTGCGTTGGATGATCGACCATCTGACGCGCTGACCCTGGTGTTGGGAAAAGTGTTCACCTCTGCTCTCCCCGTGTGGTCAATTATTCCGCCTAGGCGAAGACTCAGCACTGAGTATGGAATGGGAACATCATTGCACTTGTTAATTGACTGTGGGCCGGTAAACCATGACTAAAGCAGCTCCCGGCTCACGCGGTTGCCACCTCTTGCGAGAATTTCGGCCTCGTCACATTTGAATGTGTGGCCGGATCTCGTCGAATGAGCCTCAACTTGAGAGCTAGCGTCCCTTCCCGCACCGCTGCAGCGTGTTCGGCCATTCGCGTTTAGATCTGTCTTCCGGTTTCTCCGACGTAGTTGCTTTGTCCGCAACTGCACCAGATCCGATAAACGACTCCAGACGTTTCTTGCCGTGACAGTGGGTCTTTCGGTTTCATTAACTGACGCCCGATGGTTGCCTCCGTTCTGTGTGCAACTCCAACCCCAATTGGTGCGAGAAGGCAGTCGACAGCATCCGAAACGTTCTTGTCATATGGAAGCGCTCGCCAAAATTTGGCGTCCGTGCGGTTAAGCCTTTTGTCCCTTTTGCGTATGCACCAGTTGACGAAGTTGCGCGGGTAGCCATTGGCTTTGAAGACCCGTCGGAGGTACTGTAGTTCAGCAGTCTTGTCTTCCGGCTCACTGCAGTGCGCTTCAACACGCCGATAGAGCGTCCATACACAACTGCGTTTGTGGCTGATTGGGTGGTTGCTGTTGAAGTTCAGTGCATACCTTCATCGTATTTGTCGCTTTCCTGAACACTTTGGTCTTTAGTCCACCACAATCCTTGCGGCATACGAGGACATCCAGGAAGGCCAGCTGGTTGTTCTCTTCCTCCTCCATCGTAAATTGTATGTCCGGGAAGACCGCGTTCAGACGTTCCTTGAATGTCAGCAATTGATCCCGGTCGATAACGACGAAGGTATCATCCACATACCGGGCCCAGAACTTCGGTTTGTGGTGTTGGAAGACCAGCGACTCTAACCGTTGCAGGACCTCCTCGGCGATGAATCCTGAAATCGGCGAACCCATTGGTGTGCCCTTCACCTGTTCGTAGATTGTCCCGTCGAACGTGAAGTACGTCCTGAGACAGAACTTAAGGTGCTGAAGGACTTGGGCGTGTTCAAGACGATTCTCCGTTTCATCTTATTTGATTTGTAGAATCCTCTCGATTGTCTCGATCGCCAGGTCCTGGGGATAGAAGTAAAAAGGGATGTAACATCCAAAGATACCATGACCTCATTTGGATGGAGGCTTACCTCTTTGAGTTTCTCCAGGCACTGTGCTGACGAGGAGATCGTGGTGTCTGACTCAGCGGTCAGGAACTTGAGACGCCGGACCAGCCAGTCCGTACGTTGGAGTACCTTTGAGCGACACGATGGGTTGGAGAGGAGCGCCGTCTTTGTGCACCTTAGGGAGGCCATAGAATCGGGCCAAAGCCGTATCTTAGGGTCTCACCATGCGTCTGTCGGTCGGTGTTATTGCACCTGAATTCTCCAAGGCCAACAATGCAGCATTAATTTCGCGTGTCAGCGCCTTTAAAGGGTTCGTTGCACATGGGACATAGAACTGTCGATCCTCCAGTAAACCTTTGGCTTTTTGAAGGTAGTCTGTCCTGTCCAGTACAACCGTGGAGCGTCCCTTGTCCGCTGGCACGATGACCAGGTCTTGGTCGGCCTTGAGTTCTCTAAGCGCACCACGTTCGACCTTGGAGAGCACTTTCCGCGGCCTGTGTGGCCATTAGGAGAGACGACACTTGGTGTCGGATGAGGCTCTTAGTCTCCTCCGTTGCCTCCGTCTAACTAAGGATTGATTCCATTGCTGCAATTATGTTAACAGGTTTGGCGTTAGCCGTGTTAAATGAAGCTTTGTGCCGTAGAACCTGCATATGATCCTTCGTCAGCTCCTTTGGCGACAGTTTGTCGTTTCTGGGCGATGTTGAATTGGGCAGCTTTCGGAATTTGTTCTCCAGTACTGCGTCGCGTATCATTCTCTGTTCGCGGGCTTGTTCAGGTATCCTCTGCAGGAGCAGATTTGTACCGATCTCGTCCTTGA